GAGTATTGTCTAAACCAAAGTAAACTCTACTGTTTTCATTATGAATCTCAAACTGGTAAAACTCATCATCCAAAAGTGGTGTTTGTGCACTGATAAAAACAAGATGTTGTTTAAAGATAGATAATGTCACTGGACAGATTCATAAAGATGGAGACAAATTGCATGAAGTGCAAGTTAAACTTAGAGAGGTTCACAATACTTCTTCGGGGGGATTAAATTGGGGTTTTGACTGGAGTTTTGGTTTAACTAATCGGTTGGGAACAATGGGAAAACATTCTTATTGGAGTTATTTTCATAGTATTGATACTTGTGTTTATATATGTTGCAGTGAATGTCCTGAAGTGTTCATGCCGGTTGATTCTCAAGAGCTGTTCATCTTCATCTCCCCCTGGCACAATTTCTACTGAATATGCTGAAATGTCTCTTCACCGGTCACAACTCATACCGGTTGTAAATACAGACATACTTTCTCGTGAAGATATTGATCGTGTGCGCATTTATTATTGAATCTGTGAATTTTTTTTGATACTTCCACAGGGATATAGTCGATTTTTTTTTTTTATACTTTGGGATGGAGTGCAGCTGTACAAGAATGATAGATGTTTGAGCACAAATAAATTATATATATGTACAACGTAAAAATGTTCAAGTCTAAAAGCGTAAATTGGGTTTGGGACAGAGCGTAGGTAACTTTTCGTTTTACTTTTACACTGGGACTCATTGGAATTGTATAACAGAACAGAACTAATATAGATATGTTTTAATTGGTTTTTCTTTTCACGCAATATAGACTTATATATAAAATATTTAGAACAGGAAGGAAGGGTAGGAAGGTACATTATAGTTATCTGTACGATTAATACTGTCCTTTATACACTAATTCATATTTATTCACATAATGTTGCTCTAATTAAATTTATATCTGGACTTTGGGAGAGAATAAACAGGAACAAATTATTTGGATTGGAGATTTTACCTGTGTAATAGACCCCAAACTTGATAAACAAATAATGAAAAATAGACAGATAGATAGAAATACATATATACAAGCTGCAAAATTTTGTTCCTTTGTCCAGGGAAATCTACTATATGACACTTGGCGCACATTTAATGATAATGTGCGAGCAGGGCCGGCCTTAGGTCTTCAGGCGCCCTGTGCGAAACAATCTTGTGGCGTCCCTCCTCACCTGTCTCTGTTTGGACCCCTTCAAACTATTTTAGGAGCATTCACAATCTGTTGCCTCCACCCCCTTCTACAAAACCACTGCACCTCTTAACCAAAATCCCTGGCCAGATCTTCACCAAGCCCCTGGCCACCACTTCATCAAACTCCTGGCCACCCCTTCCCCTTCATCAATGCCCTGGCCATCCCTTCGTCAAACTCCTAGCCACCCCTTACCCTTCATCAATCCCCTCCACCCCTTTATCAATTCCTGCCACCCCTTCATCAGTCCCCTGCCCCTCTCATCAATTCCCTCCCACCCTTTACTCAGCCCTCTGCCCCTATTCATCAGCCGCCTGACCCCCTAATCAATCCCCTCCCACCCCTTTAACAGCCCTCTGCCCCATTCATCAGTCCCCTGACCCCCTCACCAATCCCCTCCCCCTTTTATCAGCCCCCTGACCCCCTCATCAGTACCCTCCCACCCCTATCACCCACCTGCCCCCTTTAATCAGTCCCATGCCCCCCTTTTCAACCCCCTGCTCCCCTTCATCAGCCCCGTTAATACATGCCATGCCAAATAATCCAACCCCTGGCCACCCCTTCATCAGTCCCCTGCCCTTATTAGACCAGTGTCACCCATGGCCAGTCCCAGTCCCCTGCCCCCCTTAATTAGACCCAGTGTCACCCATAGCCAGTCCTGCCCCTTAGTTAGACCCAGGTGTCACCCATATCCTGATCCGCATGAAATTTGGACCCAGTGCCACCTTATCTAGTCCCTGCCCTTAATTGGGCCAGTGTCACCTTATCTAGTCCACCGCCCCTTAATTGGGCCAGTGCCACCTTATCTGATCCCCTGCCCCTTAGTGGGCCAGTGCCACTCTTGTCTAAGTCCACTAACGCCAATTGGGCCAGTGTCCGCCTTATCCTGGTCCCTGCCCTTAGTGGGCCAGTGTCCGCCCGTATCCCAGTCCCTGCCTATGAGTGGAGCCCAGTGTCACCCTTATCTAGTCCCTGCCCCTTTAGACCCAGTGCGCCTCTAGTCCTGCCCTTAATGCCCCCCTTAAGTTAGACCCAGTGCCACCCTTATCTAGTCCCCTGCCCCCCTTAATTAGACCCAGTGCCACTCTTATCTAGTCCCCTGCCCCCTTAATTAGACCCAGTGTCACCCTTATCTAGTCCCCTGCCCCCCTTAATTAGACCCTGCCCCATTTAATGAAAGATGTTTGGCTTAAAAATAAATAAGGTACTTACTTTGAAGGCTGCTGCTCCCTCCCTGTCTGCAGAGCACCGGCCGCCGCCCTCACACATGGAGCGGATCCCTCTGCGGCTCTCTGTGAAGGTGCAGCACTTGGACGCTGCGCCTGCGCCCCAAGCTCCTCCTCCACGCTCCGGAAACTGACCGCGGCTCAGCTCTCACACAATCTCGGGCCGGCCAGTGACAGAGCGACTGCGAGCTGTGTCGGCCGCCCGGCGCCCCTGTTGCCATGGCGCCCTGTGCGGCCGCACAGCTCGCACACCCCAAAGGCCGGCCCTGTGTGCGAGAATATACGTGTTTCTCAAAAACGTATTCTGCATACTCGAGAATTGATTACATCTTGACAGATGGAAACTCAATACAAAGAGTTAAAAAATAGATATTAACGAAGTTACATGTTATATATAATAATTTTACCAAAAAGCGACCAGAATGGAAACGTAACGGATCGCTATTGGAATCCCCACAAAATAGAGAGTTTATTAAAAATATATCAAGCAATACTTCCAGGAAAATTCTTCTAGGGAGATATCTCCAATTACTGTATGTGCTGCTTTTAAATGTGTGATCCGAGGCCATTTTATAAAATTGGCTTTTCAAAATAAGGAAAACAGAGAAAGTTATCTCTCTGAATTATATATTAAACTAGAAAATCTGTCACGTAGTAACAAAGTCCCTCAAATGATAGCTCGAATCAAATTAATGACATTAAAAATTGTATTAATGAGAAAATAATGCTTGAAACTTCCAAGAAATTAGAAAAACTAAAAGCTTACCACTATTATAAGCGCAATAAAGCAGACAAGCTACTAACAAACAAGTTGAAAAATATCCAAATCTATATATAAGATAATATATAATAATGAAACACTCTTGTTCCCCCGATAAAATAGCAAATGCTTTTGAAAGTTATTATGGTAATTTATATAACATCGGTTCTAAAGAGCCCCTGCAAAACACAGAATCTTATTTTCATGGGAAGGAATTTAAGAAAATAACTCCACAACAATTAGAAAAACTATATGAA